ATGTATGTATATCAGCTAAGTATATGTATTGAGTATAAATATGTGTACACACATACGTGTGTACAACACATGATGTTACATAGTTATGTGGGTGGATGTATGTTTGTATGTACGTGTGTATGTATGCATGTGCGTTTGTATGTACGTACGCATGTTTGTATGGAACATCGGGTAATTATGTTGATGCGATGCAGTGGATCGTAACGTGTTGTAGCGTGATGTGATGTACTTGTATGAACTGTATATGTAAAGTGTTTAATGTATGTTTGTTATGTAATGTATGTATACATGCATGTATGGGTGTGTATGTATGTATGCGTGTAGGTATGTCTTTTTGTGTGTATGCACTTATGTATGCGTGTATGATTGTACGTGTATACAAATGTGTATAAGTATGCATGTGCATGTATATGTATGTATATGCGTAAGCATGTAAGTGGGTGTAGGCGTGTGCGTGTGATTGTATGCATGTGTGCATATTTGTATGTGTGGTTGTGTGTATGTATGTATGTGTGTATGTATGGATGGATGGATGGATGCATGGCTCTATGTAGGTATACATGTTTGTATGTATGGGTGTATGTACGTATGCATATACGAAGAGAGATGGGGAGGGAGAGTGAGGGGGGAACGTGCACTTCCATCTTGCTTCGACGTCTGAGGCAGAGGGGGTGGGTGGGGCACAGCTGGAACGATGAGATGCAGTCGGCGCTGATGAGTAGGTCGACCACTCAAGCTTGCCCCTGGTGTTCCTCCAGGCGCTCTCGTTTTTTGAGGCATGTTCTCCATTCAAGAGTCGTGTGTCCTCTCCGATGTCCTCTGTCATGCACTCCAACAGCAGAAGGCTGTCCCCTGGCCTCGGTGAAGTATCGCAGACAGTCGGCATGGCAAAAGCTCATACTCGTTCGAATATGTCGGCTCCGAAGCCGCAGCTGGGCGCGCCCCAAGGCTGCGCGGGGGAGGGGAAAGGATCAGAAGGTCTTCCAGGGAGAAAGAGGCACTAATGGGCGAGAAAGGGGCGTCAGCGGTCAAGCACCCCAGAAAACACCCCCCCACACACCCCTGGGGGGAGGGCGGGAGGGAGGGAGGGAGTGGGAAAAGGGAGAGAGGGTCGTCGTCGTCGTCGTCGTCGTCTCCTCCCTCCTCCCTCCTCCCTCCTCCCTCCTCCCTCCCTTTCAAACACTCCGTACGAGAATATCGTTCTGACCCCCCTCCCGAAGATGTGGCCGAGGAGCAGCCAGCGCCCCCCGCCGCGACCTGCTGTTCACACACACAACCACGTCATGAGCCGGTCTCTCTCTTTTCTCCGGTGGCCTCTCCATCGGAGCGCTTCCAGTGCCTCGGAACGGTGCCGGCGCTGCAGTTTCGGTCTCGTTTTGGGATCGAGGAGGAGGAGGAGGAGGAGAAGGAGGAGGAGAAGGAGGAGGAGGAGGAGGAGTGCTGTGCCGTCGTCGCTCACAACTGCGCTCGCGCCCCGGCCCCTCCCCTCGCCGTTGTCGCCCCCCCCTTTCCGTTCCCCTTTCTTCCGCCCTCCCCTGGCCCTCTTGCTCCTCCCGCTCCCCCTCCGCTTGAGTTCTCGCTGCTGCTGTTTCCCCCCCTCGTCCTCCTCCTCCTTGCTCGTCCTCCTCCCGCTCCCTCCGCTTGAGTTTTATCGCTGCTGCCGCTTCCCCTCGTCCTCCTCCTCCTTGCTCGTCTTCCTCCTCCTCTTCCTCCTGCTCCCCCTGGTCTGCTCGGCCGTCGCGTGGCCTGCTGGCTCCACGTGGGCCGAGCGCCTGGCCCTATTCCCCCTGTGGAGCCCGGTTTTTTCCTTTGATGAGGTGAGATGGCCTGCAGCGGGCAGAAATCTTCATCCGCCACCTCCTCCTCCCCCCTCCTCTCAGGAGGGGAAAAAACACACAGACACAATGAATCGTCGATCCCCCGGAAAATATGCGAAAATATTGGAAGTGGGGGGGAAGACAAAAACCCAGAAAATATAGGAAAAGATGGGGAATATTTGTTTTGTGTGTATTTATTTGTGTGTTCTGGGCCCCCTTTTATCCTCATATGCACGCAGCTCCCCTTGTCCCACTGCGCACAACACGATGGAGGTCTTTGGGGGAGTTCCAGGTTCGCTGCGACACGCGTCCGCGGGTGGGGCAAGAACAGCGCCATGGGAAGGGACGGGTGGGAGGAGGAGGAGGAGGAGGTGTAGAATGGCAGAATTGGCGCGGGCGCACCTAGCTTGTCCCCTTCCCCCTCCATTCACAAGTGCACACTATGAATACCGCTCTCCTCTCTCCCTGACTCTGTCCAGAAGCTGTCCCACCCTCTCCGCGCATTGTCTTCTCACACGGGAGTTAAGAAGTTGCTTTATGTATTGTGTGTTTTTTTCAATCCGACCGTTTCAGTCTTTCCAAATGGTGTTCCCGCTGCAGCGTTGGCCTCATTTCCGCGCTTCGGGTCCTTCAAAATCGTGCTCCCGTTGCACCGTTTGTCTTATTTCCGCGCTTCGGGTCCTTCAAAATCGTGTTCCCGCTTGAGCACTGGTCTCCTTTCCGCGGCTTCGGTTCTTCCGAATAGTGGTCTCGCTGCAGCGCTGATCTCATTCCCGTTATTCGGTCCTTCAGATGGTGTTGCTGTTGCAGCACCAACCTCATCTCCAAATCGTCGGTCCTCCAGCATGGTTGTGCGGCTGCATCGTTCATGCAGCCATGGTATCAAATCCAATACTATGTTATGTACCGATGTTTCGCGATTCCATGCCTTGCCCTGCACTGCGGTGATACGCAACGCTGGGCTACGCAGTGCCATACCATGCAATGGCATGACATGTAACACGATGTAGTGTGGCATGCCGTGCAATACTATGTTATGGATTGCTATGCGATGCCATGCCTTGCGGTGTATTGCTACGACATGCAAAGCTTGACTACGCAACGCTACGCCATGCTATGCATCGCTAACCCTTTGGAGACCGTTGTCCTCTAAGACATCCGACTATTCAAATAGAGAGGGAACCCACGCCATGGCAATGGATGGGGGGGAGTGATAGGACGTCAGATATGATGCGAGCGCACCTAGCTTGTCCACCTCCCTCTTCCCTCTCCCGACCCAACCTCCTCCTACCCTTCCTTTTTCCCTCCTCCTCGGGGTACTTGTAGATGGTCGGCTGAGAGTCGAACTGCGCCGCCGACCACGTCTCGCATGGGGGTCTCGAAGATCCCACAGACCACGCCCCCACACGACAGGGTCCGGCCAGAGTCTGACTCTGGGCCTTTTCGGCTGGTCGTGAAGCCGCCAGCGGTTGGCCACATAGGGCGTGCACTCGAAATAGGGTATCGCCGTAGAGCTGGTCCAGATTCTCCACTAAATCCATCCCCCGCCTCACCCCGAGCAGACATGCAGGAAGAAGCGCGCTGAGGGTCCGGGGGGAAGGCAGAGGATGGGAGCCGTGGCACGGGAAGCTTTGGTTCGTGGACAGGGGGGGGTAGGAGGAGGAGGAGGAGGAGGAGGAGGAGGGGGAGGAGGAGGAGGAAGGAGGAGGAGGAGGAGGGAGGGAGGAGGAGGGAGGTGAGGGAGGGAGGAGGGACGAGAAACAGGGAGAAGTAAGAGTAGCAGCAGCAGCGGGAGGAGGGCGAGGAAGAGGGGGGAGGAGGAGGAGGAGGAGGAGGAGGAGGAGGAGGAGGAGGAGGAGGAGGAGGGAAAGGGAAAAGGAAAGGCGGAGCCGCAGGAGGAGGGGGAGGAGGAGGGGATTTGCTGGATGCTGCGCGCACGCAGGATCGTGGAGTGTGGAGTGCTCCGGTGCGTGCCCGCGCCAGACCTGCGACCCCCCACGCCTGCTTCGCCCGCGCCCTGGGGGGTACCTCCTCTTCCGCCTCCGCTCCCACGCCGTGCACCGCTCGGGAGGGCCTCGTGAGGCCGCCCTCGGCCCTCACGCTGTCCACGGCGCGCCCCGATGGGCGCCACCAGTCGTGGCGGGAGTGCCGGCTTTCACGTCTCGCGAGGGGGTTTTCCTCCGTCGGTGCGCACGGCTCTCGCACTGTCGTCGTGCAACAGATGCACCCTGACCAGAAGCCGAGTACAGTGGAAACCCGTGCCAGGAAACACCCTGCTTGCGTCCACGATGCCGTGAGTTTCTTGGGCTTCGATGGTCCTGTTGTGGAAAAAGCGGCGCTCCCACACCAAAAGTCAGTGGGTGTCCTAGGGGCTCAGGGTCGTTTTTGTTTTGTGGAAGGCTCCTTGTGGTCGAGCTCCTACTCTACCCCTCGTGCCCCCTCTTCACGGGGCGGGTGGAGACCCAATTATACGTCCGACGCCTTCCTGCTGCATGCTTCTGCCCGCAGGCCGACATGCACCACCGCCACAATGCCGGCGCGGCCCTTTCAGAGCGGGGAGGTGTCCTGCGTCGCAACGGCGGGCGGGCCCGGGCGGCCGCGTCGAGCGGGCGGGCCGCTGGAGCGTCGGAGGTGCGTTGGAAGCGCGGGGAGGTCTCGAGCGACGGCGCGGCTCCCGGGGGAAATCTTGAGGAAGTCCACGGCGAGAGGGTGTTTCCTGAGCGTCTAGCGCGCGGCGTCTGAGCGAGCTGCGAGGAAGTCCCGGGCGAGAGCGCGGCTCCCAGGTAGATGACAAGGAAGCCCCGAGCGAGAGCGCGATGCTTCATTAAGCTGCCAGGAAGTATCAGGCCAGAGTCGTGGTTGCTGCTGTTGTAAGCCAGGGGCCAACAAAACAGCCTGAGCTGCAAGAGTTGTTTTTGTAAATATCCTATCGCGAGCCCTGGGAGGGGCAGTTCATCTGAAAAGTACTCTGTGCCCCGAAGGGGAGTAACAGTAATTATTCTTTAACCCTGCAACAACAAGCTAAGATGTAAACACATATACACACCACCACCACCACCACCATCATCATTATTAATAGTATTATAGAAAACGTTGCCAATATAGATACAGAAGAAGAAGAGCAGACATAAACATTGCGTTTAGTTGAGAAACGAAGTCGGGGGCCTTGGCTCGCCACCGCAGACCGACTGGAGCTTCTGCAAGGTGGGCTGGGTGGGGGACCTCGAGTGGAGTTTGCGCAAGGCGCCGCGCCCGCGCAGCGCTGCGCTTCGCCGCCCAGCATCCGTTCCTTCCTGCTCCCCCTCCTGTCCCCGCTCTCCTATCTCCCCCCATCTGGCCTCTTCCCCCCCCCTCTCTCTCTCTCTCTCTCCTCTCTCTCTCTCTCTGCCTCCCTCCTCCTCCTCCTCCTCCTCCTCCTCCTCCTCCTCCTCCTCCTCTCCTCCTCCTCCTCCTCCCCCTCCTCCCTCCTGCTCCGCCTCTCCTCCCTGATCCTCCTCCTCCTCGTCCCTCCCCCTCCTCGCCTCCTACCTTCCTCGTCCTCCTCCTCTGCTCCTCCTCCTCCTCCTCACTCCTCCTCCCCCTCCTCCTCCTCTCCTCCTCCTCCTCCTCCTCTCCTCCTCACTCCTCCTCTGCTCCTCCTAAAACTCTGCTCCTCCGCCTCCTCCTCCTCCTCCTCCTCCTCCTCCTCCTCCTCCTCCTCCTCATCATCATCATCATCATTATCATCATCATCATCATCATCATCATCATCATCATCATCATCATCATCATCCACCTCGATTCATTTTCCTTATGAATAATTTCTCCCTGTCGCACCCCGAGGCCAGTTTTTAGGGCGGGCGGGGCGTTTCGCCTGATACTTCCTCACCACTTATGACCCTGAAGCTGGAAAATTGACAAGAGCTTCACAGATGGGGGGCGGGTCGTTTTCAACATGTGGCTCTCGCCTTTAGCGCCGCGCACATTCGTTTTCAAAAGTTGCAAGAGGTGTACGGATTGAGGGCGGCTCATTTTCAAAATGTGGCTCTCGCCTTAGCGCCGCGCACATTCGTTTTTTTGTTTAAAAAAAAATGAAGGAGTCGCGTGGGTTCCCATGATCAACAAACCAGAGATGGTATTTGGAAGGACTCAGGATCATGAGGGCGCAACAGTTACGCTGATCCGCGGTGTTGAAGTCCCAGGAGTGGTGTTATGGCACGATGCAAGATCGTCAAGACTCAACAGTCAGGTTGATCCGTGGCGTTGGAATCCCGAGAAAAATGTGCTGGCATGCTTCAGGGTCTTCAGTCGGTTGTCTTCCAACAAGGCAGTTCCCTCAGTGGCAATGAACCGTTGTAGGGGCCTATGAAGATGGAGCTTGGAGGGGGGGATTATTCCAAAATCGTTGATGACTTTTGGGATTCCACTGGTCCTCCTCCTCGTCCTCCCCCTCCACCTCCTCCTCCTCCTCTTCCTCCTCCTCCTCCTCCTCCTCCTCCTCTCCTCCTCCGCCTCCTCCTCCATCCTCCTCCTCCTCCTCCTCCTCCTCCTCCTCCTCCTCCTCCTCCTCCTCCTCCTCCTCCTCCCATTCCTCCGACAAGGATGCAGCCGGTTGGATGTCGTCTCCTTGCTTGCTCGGATGGTGAAGCCGGCCGAAAAGTGGGTCAGCCCCTAGTCTAAGCAGGCCCCCAGGCCATTCCCAGGGTCGTCAGTAAGCGGGTCGGGATGCGAAGCTGGTCTTGCGGAGAGCCCCCGAGGTGCAGAACCCGTTTCCGCCGGGACCCCCTTCGGGGGCACATCGTGGTCGGGTCCATGAGATCTCCACGGATCTCATGGCCCCGTCTTCTTGTTCCGATACGTCCCCTGGTCCCCCCTTTGTCCGCGCACATGAGTCCAGCCATGGTTTTCAGAGGAGCAAGAGTTCATGAGAACGAGACGTTCCAGGATTTCCAGGATCACCCCCCCCCGATTCTCTAATGTCCCATACGGGCTGCAGAAACGACGGCCGCGAGACGCTCTGGAGATCCTGGAACGCATCCCGAACCAGTCATATCATGACACCATTTTCCTCTTAGGTTTGCGACCCCCCCTTTCCGCGCGCCAGCCCCGCGCGCGCCGCCCACGCGCGCCCCCCGCCGCGGGGACGGGGACTCATCATCGGACTAAACTTGTCTTGCTCTTATGGACTCTTGTCCCCTCATGGCATTCCTTGGCACTCTCGGACGCTAGCCCCTCTTGGACGCCCCCGACCGCTCCCTTCGTGCCCACGAGGAGGCGAGTGCACCCTCGCCCCCCCACCCTTGGGCGTGGAGGCCCGCGCGGGAGCGGGGCGCGCCACCGCCTGGCCCCACTGGTCCTCGGGTGCCGTTGCCCCTCCCGCTGCCCAGACAGAGCCCATGTCGATCCGATCGGTACGATAATCCTCCTCCTCCTCCTCCTCCTCCTCCTCCTCCTCCTCCTCTCCCCCTCCTCCTTCTCCTCCTCCCCTCCCACTGCTCCTCCTCCTCCTCCTCCTCCACCTCCTCCTCCTCCTCCTCCTCCTCCTCCTCCTCCTCCCTCATCATCATCATCATCATCCTCGTCCTCCATCCTCATCCCTCTGCTCCTTCCTCCTCCTCCTCCTCCTCCTCATTCCTCCTCATCATCATCATCATCATCCACATATCATCATCATCATCATCATCTCATCATCTCATCGTCATCGTCCTCATTCCTCCATCATCAAGCATCACAAATCATCATCATCATCATCATCATCAGCAGAGCCATCATCATCTTCCTCCTCCTCATCCTCCTCGTCCTCCTCCTCTTTCCTCCCCCCCCCCCCCTCCTCCTGCTCCTCATCCCCCTCCTCCTACTCCTCCTCCACATTATCCTCCTCCTCTTCTTCCTCCTCATCATCAGCAGCAGCAGAACCCTGCTCATCCTGCTCGTCCGCATCCTCCTTCTCCTCCTCATCCTCCGCCTCCTCCTCATCATCATCTGCTCTTCCTCCTCCTAATCATCATCATCATCATCATCATCATCATCATCATCATCATCATCATCATCATGATCATCATCATCATCATCATCAGCAGCATCAGCATCAGCATCAGCATCATCATCATCAACATCAGTATCATCACCAGCAGCATCATCAACATCAGTATCATCAGCACCATCATCAGCAGCATCATCATCACACTCATCATCCTCATCCTCTTCCTCCTCCTCCTCCTCATCCTCCTCCGTCGCTGATCCGTCTCTTCTTCTTCTTCTTCCTCCTCCTCCTATGCTCCTCCTCTTTCTCCGCCTTCTCATCCTCATCATCCTCCTCTTCCTGCTCCTCCTCCTCCTCCTCATCCTGCTCCTCCTTCTCTGCTCATCCTCCTCCTCTGCTCCTCCTTCTCCTCCTCCTCCTTCCCACCTCCTCTGCTCCTCCTCCTCCTCCTCCACCTCCACCTCCTCCTACCTCCTCCTCCTCACTCCTCCTCCCAGCTCCTCCACATCCTCCACTTCATCCTGTCTCTCTTCCGCTCATCCATCCATCAGCATCATCATCAATCATCACATCCCTCTTCCTCCTCCTCCTCCTCCTCATTTTGCTCATACTCCTCTTCTCCTCCTCCTCCTCCGCCTCCTCATAGTGCTCCAACCTCGTCATCCTCCTCCTCTCCTCATCCTCCTCCTCTTCCCGCCTCCTACCCTCTCCTCCTCTTTGCACAGCAATCCTCCTCTCCCCTCATCCTTCCTCTTCCGTCCCTTTCCTGCCTCCTCCTCCTCCTCCTCCTCATCCTCCTCCTCCTACTCCTCTCCTCCTCCCTCTTCCCTCTCCTCATCAATCAGCAGCATCACATCATCCTCCCCTCCCCCCTTCCCTCCTACTCCTCCCTCCTCCTCCTCCTCCTCCTCCTCCTCCTCCTCCTCTTCCTCCTCCTCATCATCCTCTTCCTCCTCGTCCTCATCCTCCTCCTCCATCATCCTTCGCCTCTTCATCCTCCTCCTCGGCTCCCCTATCATCCTCCTCCTCATCAGCATCATCATACCCATCATCCGCATCAGCATCATCCTCAGCATCAGCAGCAGCATCAGCATCATCATCATCATCATCATCATCATCATCATCATCATCATCATCATCATCATCATGATCATGATCATCATCATCATCATCATCATCATCATCATCATCATCATCATCATCATCATCACCAGCATCATCATCATCATCATCATCATCATCATCATCATCATCATCATCATCATTATCATCAGCAGCCTCATCATCAGCATCGTCATCGTCAGCATCAACAGCATCATCATCCACATCCTCGGCTTACTCCTCCTCCTCTTCCTTCTCCTCGTCCTCACCCTCCGTCTCCTCCTCCTGCTACCCATCGTCTTCCCCCTCTTCCAATATGTCCTCATCCTCCTCCTGATCATCTTCCTCCTCCTCCTCTGCTCCTCCTCCCCCGCCTCCTCCTCCGCGTTCTCCTCCTCCTCATCATCATCCCCCTCATCCTCTTAGTCATGCTCCTCTTCCTCCTCTGCTCCGCCTCCTCCTCCTCCTCCGTCTCCTCTTCTTCCTCCTCCTCCTCCTGGTCTTCATCCTCATCATCCTCCTCATCCTCCTGCTCCTCCTCTGCTCCTCCTCTGATCCTCCTCCTCCTCCTTCCGTCCTCCTCCTCCTCCTCCTCCTCCACCTCCTCTCCTCCTCCTCCTCCTCTCCTCCTCCTCCTCCTCCTCCTCCTCCTCCTCCTCCTCCTCCTGCCTTCCTCCTCCTCCTCCTGCCCTCCTCCTCCTCCTCCTCCTCCTCCTCCTCCTCCTCCTCCTCCTCCTCCTCCTCCTCGTCCTCCTCAAACAGGCCCATTGGGGACGTCTTCGCAGTGCAGGAGCACAGGGTGAAAGGGGACAGGCTCAGCTCGCTGCAGAACCAGGTGCGCGACCTCGGCTACCACGGGCTGTGGGCACCAGGACAGTCTACTGGGGGACGGGCCTTTGGACGTTTCGGGGAGCGTGGCGCTGCTCACGAAGACGGTGGTCTCGGTGACGGCGCCGCCCTTTGTGCTTGCTCCAATCCTGGAGGAGGCAAGGATGCTGGCGGGACATGTGCACTGGGGAGTGAAGGGCGGCATCATCGTGGTAGTGGTGTACCTGCGGCACACTGTGGGCATGGATGACGACAATTCGGACACGGTCCACGAGCTGCGCACCGACCTGCGGGTGCTCGACGCGTGCAAGCTGGACTGGGTCGCCATGGGGGGCTGGAACATGGAGGTCGA